TTTCAAATGACTGAAGACCCCACACAAACCGGCTTTATTTCAAAAGGACATTTGTTGGCACATTGATGTGTCTTGTTTCAGAGGTTCAAACCTTGTCAAGGACCTAGGATTCTCTATTTCTCCACTTGCCTTCTGCCTAATTGGTTCTCTCATCAGGCAGGCTTCACCCATTAGTGGCATAATGGATAACTTTGGATCCAGGCCCATATCCTTATAGCTGAAAAATCAGTGGAAAATAGGGAACTAGAACTCAAAAATTCTAGTAAATGTGTCAAGGTTGTGTATCCTTGGCTTTATTCAGATCAATTGTTCATCCTTGATCCAAACACCATGGCCATTAATGAAATCAATACCATCTAAACTGCACTGACTAAAAATGAGGGAGGACCGGCTCTCCAGGTGCAAACCTCCATATGTAGAGGAAGGTGGTAAAGACATGAATTACCTAAAACTACTATGGCCCTCTCTGAAGAATAATATACTTTAATACAGTAATACAAATTGAGCATCCAATATTAGGATGAAGACCGTCTAGGGACCCTAACTTAGGAAGAGAGGATAACCAAGCTTAGCCTCTCGTTCCAGTGTGTGACCCCTTACAGATACTAAATTATTATTAAAATTTGCATTTCTAAAATAAAAGCATATGTGCATTCAAAATGCTTTATTTTAGAATCGCCTTAGGTTTACAGAAAAATGATGAATATTGTACAGATAGTTCCCATACACCCCACACTTAGTTTCCCCTATTATTAACATCTTACATTATGGTAATGGTATACTTGTAACAGTTAATAAGCCAATATTAATACTATTAATACTATTGACCAAAGTCCAAAATTTTCTTAATTTTCACCTAAAGGCCTTTTTCTCTTCCAGGAGCCTATTTAGGATACCACATTACATTTAGTTGTCATGTCTCCTGAGGTTCCTCTTGGCTGTAACATTTTTTCAGATTTTCCCTTGGTTTTTTAATGACCTTGGCAGATTTTTTTAAGATTTTTAAAATTTATTTTGAAAGAGAAAGAGAGAGAAAGAGAGAGAGCATGCACAGGAGAGAGTAGGGAAGGGATGGAGAGAGAGGGGGAGTAACAGAATCCCAAGCAGGCTCTGTGCTATCAACTCAGAGCCCAACATGTGGCTCAATCTCACAAACTGTGAGATCATGATCTGAGCTGAAATCAAGAGTTGGATGCTTAAGTGACTGAGCCACCCAGGAGCCCCATGACATTGGACATTTTGACAAGTATTTGTCAAATATTTTGTAGAATCTGCCTCAGTTTGGCTGTGTTTGATGGTTTTCTCATGATTGTACTGGGATGATGTTTCTTGGGGAGAAGAATTTACCACATGGGTAAAGTATCATTTATACCACATCATGTCAAGGGTGCAAACCATCAACATGACTTGTCTCTGTTGATGCTGGCCTTGATCACCGGCAAGAGGTAGTGTTTGCCAGATCTCTCCACTGTAAAGTTAGTTGTTGTTCTTACTGTCTTTACAGGAAGTTTGGAAAGGAAGTCACTGTGTTCAGCCTACAATTAAGGATAGGAGTTATGTTCTACCTTTCCTTTGAGGAGGAAGTAACTACATAAATTATTTGGAATGTTTTTGGACAGAAGATTTGTCTCTCCTTCCTCACTTATTTATTGATTTGATCACTGTATCAGTATCAACATTTATTTTATACTTTGGGCTATAATCCAGTTCTAGTTTATTTTGTTGCTTGGGTTGTTCCTGCTTTGGTCATTGGTAGCTTTTTTGGTTGCCTCCTGTGTCCATTTAACAATCACATCATTGTGGATTTTACTTTTTATTTACTTTTTGAGCACTTTCACTTTCTAGCACAAGATGCTCCAGACTCATTTTAAGTATTTCCTGCCCCAGTCCTAGAACCAGACATTTCTCCAAGAAGCCTGGTTCCTTTTATTGGTGAGTGGTGTTTAGAAACTAAGATCTAGATGTGAGATGTGCTTAATATACACATTTTTTAAAGTAAAATTATTATAAAAGGCTTATAACTAAAAAAAACAGCCAATACCTTTCCTATTCCTTCCCATAAAATGTAAACTCTTTTGAGTTTTTTTCTTCTGTTTTTTTTTCCTTCCATATTACTAATAATGTGCTTTTACTGTTACTTTTTGATTGACCATCTATTTTGATTACCGTCTATTGACCTCCTGAAGGGTGAGTACTCCCATTCCCCTTCCTCTCTGCCCATCTTCCCAATATACTTCTATCACAATTTTATGTTAAACTAGTAGCTAGAGTTTACATTATCATGACTGTACAACTATCTTTCCAATTGAGCAAATGTACTGTAATTTCATATTCTTTCATGGACAATATTTAGTGTTTCCTGATTGTAATAATTGTCTATTGTTTTCCTTTTCTTAATTTCCCAAGTGTTTATCAAAATTCATCTTAAATGATTCAAGCCCTTTCTATCAAAGACCGACTTGATCTATTTTCAAAATACCTAAATGCATGAGATAATTATCAGTTACACTCACCACTACCACCGCCAGCCTTACTCCTCTGTCCTTTTGCTCCAGCCTGGTTTGCTTGTTGTGGTAACAAGTCTGCAAAGATGCTTCCCCTTCACCTCCAATGAACTTCCTGCTATTCGCACCCTTGTATTGTTCCTTCTACTTGAATCCAGGATGGCCTTCTATTTTTTTAAATGTTTATTTATTTGATAGAGAGTGCATGTGAGTGGAGGAGCAGGGGAGGTGTAGGGATAGAGAGAGAGAATCCCAAGCAGATTCTGCAGTTTCAGCACAGGGCCCTACGCAGGGCTCAATCTCATATCATGACCTGAGCTGAAATCAAGAGTTGGATGCTTAACCAACCAAGCCACCCAGGCACCCCTGGGATGGCCTTCTTCTTGACCAATAGAATGCAGTGGAAATAATACTGAATCACATGTCAGTTTAGGTCATAACCTTTGCCCGTTCTTCCTGAGTCTGTCAGAATGCTCACTTTTTTTTTTAAATGTTTTTATTTATTTTTGAGACAGAGAGAGACAGAGCATGAATGGGGGAGGGTCAGAGAGAGGGAGACACAGAATCCGAAGCAGGCTCCAGGCTCTGAGCTGTCAGCACAGAGCCTGACATGGGGCTCGAACTCACGGACTGTGAGATCATGACCTGAGCTGAAGTCAAACACTCAACCGACTGAGCCACCCAGGAGCCCTGAGGAATGCTCACTTTTGAGAAAACCATATACTGTGTAAGAAACTCATTTACTTTGAGACTGCTATACTGAAGGAAGCCCAAGATGCCTGTGGAAAGGCCATGTGGAGGCACAGGGGTACCTGTCCAGCCACTAGGTCTTCTAGTCATCCCATCAATTTCCTAGACATGTGAGTACAAAGTCATCTTGGTTGTTGTCTTTGTATCTTTTTCATATTGAATATTTCCCCAAATGTCTCTGATCCTTAGTTGCCTATTCATATTTAAAAGACATACTAAAAACTAATTAGGAATGCTGCATACATGACTGAGGCTCATGAACTGGTAGCTTTATTGAAGGGGAATTGTGTTGGTATTAACGGGGAGCACCTAAATATCAATATCTGTAAGTGTTTTATTAGGGCTATCCTATTTGTCCGGAGACTAACTCTCCCAGCTTCCTAGGAAGAGGATCCCACAGTTCAGTGGGTAGTCAGTGGGAACATTTTCTCTGAATCCTTCTATTTTCATCCCTTCCCCCTGTTTTACTAGATTCTCTGAGTGCAGAGACTCATCCAGTATTGTATTTTCACCAATAATTTTACTATGAGCAATGTTGAAGGTCTGAGACTCATTTGGCTGGTTACAATCAAATGAGGATTTTTTTCTTAAATCTAGAGCATTTGTGCATCCTTAAATTCCCTCTCTGGAGCTGGGTATAATTTGGCCGCCACTGGTATGGTGTGTCTCATAGCTGTGGTTCCCTAAGGACCACAGGTTGAAGGAGGGTGTCATGATCAAGAGCATGGATTTTGGGATCAGGGACACTTGGGCTTGAGTCATGTTTTCACCTTCTTGACTGTCAATGTCATTTATGTAGCCCCCTTAAGCCTCCATTCCCTCGTCTGTTAAATGGGAAAAAATACCTATTTCTTAGTGTTGTGAGAATTAAATAATACATCTGTATCATGTAGTAGAGTGCCTGGAATATAACTAAACATTCAGTAACCAATGATGATGACCTACATCTATGTTAGAAAACATATCTGTTTGATTTGATTCCTCCTCTAACTGGTTCTGTGGTCTTGGATAGATCACTGAAGCTATAGAGTCCAGAGGTCTATCATCTCACCCAAGCCTTATAGTCTGGTTCATGAGCTATCTTTTATGCTTCATCATTAGGTGATGAAGACTTCACTAAAAACTGGTAGAACTGGGTCTTGACCTTGGGCTTGTTTGTTACCTGAGCATGTCCTGTGCTTCCTCTATTGAATTCTTCTTTCCTTGTCTAGTAAATTCGTATGGTGATTTTGTCTTATGTGATGGTTGATTGCTTTTGTTTGTCAGTTATCAGAGTTAAGGGGCCAAAGTTCCAGGTGATGGAGAACCAGGTGAACCAGGTAAAGGGAGCAGAGCCCATTTCCAGTCTAACTTTTCTTTGGCCCCTATGAGGAGTCCATGTTTAAATAGCAGCCAATGAAGTGAGTTCATTGCATTTTACTACAAGCTGCACAGGAGTGGGAAGGACTGTAGCTCATTCACAGCTTACACATGCACATACACACAAGCACATGCATGGATGCTAACACACAGGGTAGGAAATCCTTTGATATGTATGGACAAAGGAATACAGGTGCAACCTCACTATCAGTCCACACATTTCCACATACACTGGTGGTCAGGAGAAAGAGCTCAGCACATTTTATCATACATCTCTTGAGGGAGACTATTCAGGAGGGAGGAAAGGGAACGTTATGAGGCAGAAAGAGAAATGAAACTAAAAGGTCCTGCCCTGTCAGCACTAACCAGAGTATAAGAAATGGACTTTGGACAGACAGACTGACTCCTGGGGCCTGCCAACAGTCAAAATGTCCAAAGGGCCTCTTATTCTCTGGCTGCTGATTGAACTTGGGCGGCTTTCTCTGAGTAAGTGTTCTGAATCCTTCCATGCAGGAGTCCCTGGAGAGCTTGGCATCCTGTGATAGATTTTCACAGCCGATCAGGCCTCAGTAGAGCAGAAGCCTGCTTCATTCTTGATTCCTTCCAGATTTTTTTCTTTGGAGGGTCTCTGCCTTTCTAGTTACATAGGGTTTTATCCTGAGACTGGTTTTAGAGTTTTACAGTGGGCTAATTTGTATTCAAATCAGAAATGACAACTTAAGAAGAAACACAAAATAAAGGGTCAGATGAAATGGGGAAAAGAAATTTCCTCTGCAGGTGTTATTAGCATAGTTGGAGCCAGGGGAATTCTTCTGCAGAGCTCTTATTATAATTTGTATTTTCCTCTTTATTTTCAGTGGTTTTGGTTTGCTTTTTGTTTGTCTTCTTTTGCTGGGTATGACGCTTCATCCCTCACCAGAAGGTGAGGTTTGTTGTGTCCAAGTTTTGGGTGATGCAAGTGTACACACTCATTCTGGGCCAGTTTAGACTTCTGTGTCCTGGCAGCCTTGGGCAAAATGCTCCTCACTGAGCTGCAGTGGTCTCAGTCACTAGTCATTAACAATGGAAACATGTCTAAATTGCTCTGGCTCTTCTATGTATGAAATGAGGGAGCCAGGTAAGACCAGTTTGAACAATCCATGATTCTAGAACTAGACAGTATCTAATATCCCTAGCAGTTTTCAAAGTTAGTAGCTATTTGCAAATGATCTCTCAAGTGTGCTGCCCGCAAAAGCACTTCCATTCCAAGGAAAACAAATGTGTTCTCTCTACCCTTCAAACCTTTGCCATGCTGTTTTTCATCCTGCCTTTCTTTTCTCGGTAACTACATGCATTATCAGTTCTCCACACAAGTCAAGCTTTTCCTGAGCACTCTGAGCCTCTGGACGGGCTGAGGTGTTTCTGCTATGAATTCCTATCTTCCATGAAGTCATCCATCAGAGAACTTGTCACCCTGAAGTAATTGATCATTTAACTGCCTCTCTTCCTAGATACTCTGTAGGAATTAATGGAATGAAGGCAATCCCTGTCACTTTCTTTATCAGTGTTTTTAGTGGTCTTTATCTTGTCCTGAGTAGTTGAGGTGTGGAGGTTTACGTTGTGTTGAAGGTTGCTGGAGTCTATGTTCCCGCTCCTGGCTGGACACTGATGGGGTAGGCTTCTCCAATCCTATGTGAAGGAAGCAGCACCTAGAGAACTGTCTTTTGTTCATTTTTCATTTGTACTTTTTCTAAAGTGACCAATTTAGAAGAGAGTGATTGCTCAGAATCAGCAAGGATCAATCAGGACTGGATATGCTCTTAAAAGATGCAGAATGAAACCCTTTCCTCAGTAAATAGTGAAAATGAGACCCTGACTGGGGAAGGGGCATTTCCTGAGGTCACCACCTGGAGAAGGAACAAAGCTGGCAACAGAACCTAGGTTGTACCTACCGTCCTAGGTAATTCCCCAAAAGGGAATTTGATTATCAGTGATTCTTCTGCTCCAAGATACTTTTGTAACAGCAGGGAAGAGCTTCTTGTCCTATTTATAAATTCTGAAATGCTTGGTTACTTGTACTAATACTTTATTAATTTCATGTGGCATTTGATACTTCATTGCATATAAACCTCCAAAATACTTCTGAAGCAAGTATTATATATCCCCCTTGCTTTCAATGATAAAGAGGTCAGGATTATTGTGGCTTTCCCCCAAGAACACAAAAGCAGTAACTAGCAGAATGAAGTTTACGCTGTAGCCTAATGGGTGTTTTTCTGCCACACCAAATTGCCTGCTTCCTTTTTTTAAATATTAATTTTTAATCCAGTCAGTAATACAGAAACACCCCAGGTGAAAAAAATAACAGCATCATAAAGCTAAAATCCCTTTGACTACTCCCTCCTTCTCCAGTTCCTTTCCTCTGATGGCAAAGGCGACTGGAACAGTGAGTTGGGTGTATATCCCACCAGACACTTTTCTATGCATATACCTTCATATGTCTGTGCCCACAGACAAAAAAAAAAAAAAAAAAAAAAAAAAAAAAAAAAGAAAAAAAAATGCAAACTGTTTTGTTTTATAAGATGGTTTTCTATTTTATGTGTTGTTTTGAATTTGTCCTTTTCATACATTAATAAGGCTTGGAGTTTTCATGTCAACTGATAAAGATTTACTTCTAATAACCTTGGAATGATTGCATGGAATGAATGATTCATTATGTTTACAGGGAATGCATATGCCATAGTTTTGCTGTTCCCCACATACATTGTTCACTTCATTCACATATATATGAAAGCTGCAGCAAACTTTTGCAAACAGATTTCCCTGTGCACATGTCTTTTTGTAGGGTAGATAACAAAGCACGGAATTGCTAAGGCTTAGCTAGGATACACGCATGCTCAATATTAATGGAAACTGCCAAATTGCCTCACAGTGTGGCTATACCAATTAAACTCCCATTTCATTCCAGTGTACTCCAATAGTCTATGTCATTTCCTGAGTCCCTGTCTTGCCAACTTTGATATTATTGGCATTCTAAATTTTTGCCAGTCTTACAGATGAAATTTACTGGCTTCTTGTATTTCTTTATCTATGCCTGTTATGTCTTCTGTCAATGTTTATATTGGGTGTTTTCTTACTGAGTAGTAGGATGCCTCTTTCTATAGTATGATACTGGAAAAACAAACTGTTTAATCTCCAGCAGAAATAATTCCTGCATATATTTTTAATTAATTTTCCAAACATTCATAAGAATAAGCTCATATTGAGAAAGTTGCTAGTTTTAGGTGCATATGTTCTGTTGGTAATAGAGCTGAAGGTGATGACAGTGAATTTCTTATGTATTTATTTTTCCTTGTTTCATGGTAGGCTAAATGGACTTCTAGAGCATTTATGGTCACTGAAACATTCCTACTACAATGAAATGAATAAACTGTGATTTCAGGGTCTGAAATTTCAGGGCATGTCTGAATTTGGTTTGTGCTTACCTTATTTTAGAGAGGGTTATGGGGACATTCCTGATACCTGGGTCAGAGAGGAACCTGGTACTCTTGGCCATGTGCTATACAACTTAGCCCAATGGGCCAACAAAGTCAGTGAATGTAGAATCTCACAGGAAGGTACCTTGGAGAAAACAAAGCAGGACCTACATACCCTAGAGAAAGCAGGTGGAGTCCTGATGATCTGGAGCTTCAGCCTGTCTTCAGTAGCATTTTTTGGGAGTGGAGGGTTAGAACCAGCAATCATTAGAACAATTGTTGATGCTCAATTAACCCAGTGGGCTTAACATTTGCAGCAGTGAAAATGTTTCGCAGATTCTTAGCGATGGAAGTAATCTTAGAAGAGCTTGTCCACTGGTCCTCAAATCCTGGGTGACTAGCAAGTGATATCAGAATGACCTGGAGAATTTCCATGGGCCTTGGCTTCAAACATTCTGATTCAGGGTTGGGCAATAAAATTTGCACTTTCAACACCTTCCCCAGGTCATGCTGATGAGCAGGCAAAGCTGGGAAATAGGACTGCTTCATTTCAGAAATAGCGATACCTTCCATCTCACACAACTAATATAGTAAAACTAACCCTTGGCATTTTTCTATGCATAGGTGCCATTCTTTCTAATTCTTGTGGTTCTTTCCAGTTTTAACATTTAAAAAGTGTTCAAACTCCACCTAACTTCCTGTTCTCTAGCAACAAATAAATGGTCCAGAGCAATCAATTTCTAGATCCAGTACTGAAAGGAGAGAAGGACAATGGAACGTAGTTCAACAGCTTATCTTACTGCCACAGCATTCTCTGGGTTTGAAAATGGAGGGAGTCCCAAGCAGTCAGGTCAGCAGTACATGGCCACTGTTTATTGAGGATACACTGGGTAGAGTGCTAGTTCTGGATGTGTTTACATGAGTTAGTGGAATTAGATTAAAGAGTTGGATTTTTCATTGGAAAAGTTTTTGGCTTATTGGAATGGTACTCAAGAACAGAGTTTTTAAATCAGCAAAAAGGGCTTGTTATGGAGATGAGTTCAGACCATGAGGTGGGTCAGCTATCTGTAACTGGGAGACAAAAGGGTGTGGAGTTAGGGACTCAGCAGTGGCTAAGGGCACATCAGAATTTAGGCTAAAAAATATACATAATGACTCTTCTCATCTTCCTGGAAGCATTTTAGCTGCACAAACATCATGCAGTATATTTGAGAGATTTTAGTACTGCACAGCCTTAATTTTTCTCATCTTTCCTCACAGTTCTAGCTGCACCAGACACTGTGAGAGGGTTTTTGGGTCAGTCAGTGACCTTGCCCTGTAAGTACTCATCCTGGTCTGAAAACAGCAACAGCATGTGCTGGGGCAAGGGCCCGTGTCCCAAATCCAAGTGCAACAATGAGCTTCTCCACACTGATGGGATGACGGTGTTGTCCAGGAAGTCATCAAAATATGAACTTCAGGGCAATATCCGACAAGGCGATGTCTCCTTGACCATCTTGAACACCAACGAAGGTGACAACAGTGTATACTGCTGCCGCATAGAGGTCCCTGGCTGGTTCAATGACGTGAAAAAGAACATTCGCCTGCAGCTGAGGAGAGGTGTGTACATGAAGGGGCTTGTGTCTGTGGAAGGATAGATTCAACAGTTAATGGGGAATGGATGTACTGGGTGGTGTTGGGGAGGCTGTAGGTGCTTAAGCACGAGGGGGCAGATTAATTTTAAGATGTGTTGCTATGACTAGAGGAGGCACAGTATGGAGCAAATACCCATGGGGGCCAAGAAGACCACAGCAATGAATGGGTGGGGGGTGCATGGGAAGGGAACCAGTGAATTGGAGGGTCAGTCTGCAAAAGACATCTGCTTCTTATTACGAGATTGTTGCTTTGTGCACAGTGTTTTCAGATTTCGCAATTTTTATGTGTATGACATTGATTTTTATATGTTGGCAAAGATTTTTTTAAAAATACCATATAAATTAAATAAAATGTGTCCATGGGTCAGCTTCAGCCCATAAGCCAAAGTTTGCAACTTCCAGCAAAGGGGAAAGGGCATGAGACTTGGAGACAATCACAGCAGTTTTCAGGTGGCCTTTCCGTCTGTTACTGTCAGTTGCTTTTGATGAAACTGGAATATGGTGGGATTCTTAAAGATTTGAGCTGCATAGAAGGCAGCCTCTGGTTGAATTATGCTAACAGTAATCACCTTTCCTGCTTGTTGGGAATGGTGTCTCTCAGAGTAAGCTCTATGTTCAAACTGCATCAAAGATGGAGGGTTATCGGGGCACCTCAGTGGCTCAGTCAGCTGAAAGTCCAACTCTTGGTTTTGGCTCAGGTCATGATCTCATGGTTTTGTGAGTTCAAACCCTACATCAGCTCTGCACTGCCAGGATGGAGCCTGCTTGGGATTCTCTCTCTCTCTCTGCCCCTCCCCCACTCACACTCTCTCCGTCTCTCTCAAAATAAATAAATAAACTTAAAAAAAAAAAAAAAAGATGGGGGATTCTTGTGCTTTGTTCCTGACTGGGTAGGCATCTTGGAAGGCAGGATCATATGCTTATAGCCACAAGTTTAACAGAATTCTCAGGTGACACCAATGCACTCTAAAATTTGGGAATGACTTATGTGGATGCTTCTTATTTCAGAACTTTCATATACTTTAGTATATTTTTCCTTAAAAGTGACTTTGTGATAGAAAAGGTATTTTTCTGATTTACTGAAGTTTTATTAAAGTTAAATGAGGCTAATCCAAGTCTTCTACTTTCAAGCCTGATATAACCAGCTATTATTTTATAAAATACTTGTTGAACTCAGTATCTATGGGTCATTTCTAAGCTCACTGAAATCTATTAGAGTTAATCAAAATTTGACATATTTAAGAGATGGTAGCATATGTAGAATAACTGTGGCTGATGAACCCAAACTCAAATGTTAGGGGGTGAGTGGTGTCGGCATGAACTTGTCATTAATATATGAAAGAGACTACATTCTCATCCCATGTTGAATACCTTGGATTCATTTTTATTACAGATTTTAATTTTATTTCATTGTGGAAAGAGCACCTATGGTGAGTTCTGCTCACTTAACAAATTTTCAAGTATACAACTTATTATTGTTAACTTTAGGTATGAGTTGTACAACAGAACTTGAGCTTCTTCATCTTGCTTGACTAAAATTTCATGTTTGGGCTCAATTTTGATGCAATTGTTCATTTGCTCACTTATGGAATCTTTTTGGAATATCTACCATGTGCCCAACATTGTGGTAGGTATTAGATTTGTAGCAGAGAACAAAATAAATAGCAGATTTTCCCTTATGGAGCTTACAGTCTGGTGGGAGAAGCAGGTGTTAAACCATAATCATAAAATAAAAGTGAAGGTAAAGTATAGAGTGCAAAACCCAGAAACCTAATTGATTGCAGAATATGTGTGACCTCCTTACAACAGTGTCCTTTTAGCTGAGACATGAGGGTTCAGTAGGAGTCAGCCTAATGAAGAGAGAGTCTCGGAAGCAACAGGTACAAAGTCCCTCCAGTGTGAGGTCACTGTTTAGAGAGGTGAAGAAAAGCCAGTGGGCTGGAGACAAATGAGAAGAGTAAAGTGGAGACCTGAGATTGTAAAGAAAGAGCCAGATCAAGTGGAATTTTTGTGGGCCAACTTTGGGGTTGGGTCCTTTATCTCAAGGGCAAGGAGGACCCAGTAAAATCTTTTAAGCAGGGACCAACATAATTATTTGTCATTTTAAAAGATTGTTCTAGCCAATGTGTAAAAAACATATCGGAAAGGTCAAGAGTAGGGGCAAGAAACCCAACTTTCATGGGCATTCCAGTGGTCCAGGCCAGTGGACCAGGTGAGGGCAGCAGAAACAGAGAAATGGACAGATCCCACATATATTTGTACAATGTATCTTATATCGGTTACAGCTCCAACAACCAAGCGCCCAACAACCACTACTGCCATGACGACAACCATAGCTGTGCTTCCAACAACAGCTGTGACTACACCTGAACTCACAACCAGAACACCACTTCAGACTACCCTCACAGCTGTGGCAACCACATGCCCCCCAACAATATCAACCTTTCTTCCTGAAGCAACCCCAGTTCTTGAGACCACTGAGCCTTCAATGGGAGCACCCACCTTCACTACAGGTACATGGTACATTTGGCCATTCTTTCCCTTCTACTGGTCAGATGTATCTTGGGTCCCTTGCAACAGGGTTCTTTTACTGAATGGGGCAGTTCAGAGACTTGCCCTTGTGTGTGTGCATTCTGGTTTGCTAGGGTTGTCATAACAAATGCCACAGAGCAGGGGGCTTAAACAACAGAAATTTATTTTCTCATAATTCTGGAGGCTAGAAGTATGAGACAAAGGTGTCAGTACGACTGATTTCTTGGCTTATAAATGGCTACCTTCTTTCTGTGTCTTCACATGGTCTTCCCTCTGTGTCTCTGTCCTAATCTTATCTTCTCATAAGGACACCAGTCATATTGAATTAGGGTCCATCCATATAACTTCATTTTACTTAATTATTTCTTTCTCCAAATAAGGGCACAATTTCCTGTATTGGGGGTTAGAATTTCAACATATGAATTTTGGGGAATATAGTTCAGTTTATAACTGTATGTATGTGCGTGTGTGCGAGTGAGGATGTGGTTTCATCAATCTGTTCCTTTTCTTTGTTTTATGGTTTCCTTTTTTGCCCCCTATTTTTTCTGTTTTTTGAAAGTCAGATTTTTTGGTTCTCCAGTTGACCTTCCAGGAATCTTAGAGATATTTATGCAACAGCTAGGATATGTCACCTGGGGTCAGACCCCAGTTTTATTCTTCTAGGGGTTAAGTCTCTGCCTTGGCATTAGAGATTGGTTGAGGAAAGGCCTCCAGATGCCTTAAAATATCCCTTGATGATGAACTAGTTCTACCTTTGTTTCTTCCTTCCTCTTTCCTTCCCTTCTTCTCTCAATCCCTTCCTCCCTCCCTTCCATTCTTTTCTTTTTCTTTCCTTCCTGCCCCTCCCCCCCCCCAGGTCGTTTTTGATCCTCCATCTTGGACCCTCACTGACTTAATAGCTTCATTACTTATAGGGCTTATCAAAGTGCCCACCATGTTTCAACCTCTGATACCAAGGTAATGCTGTTGGAAACTCATTAAGAGATAGTGTGAAGGCTTTCTTAGCTGTCTCAGCTGCCTCAGTAAGCCCTGGATAATTTAAATAGCTTTATAATATTGAATCAGCTAATTCTGTTATACTCTGGGTTGTCACCTAAAGTTCATGAACCATAAACCAGACAATTTTTGTATGTATTTTTAATTGTTTTTGGTGTTTAAAATAATCACCTTAAACTATGACATTTGTAGTTTTCTTGATCCTAAAAAATTACTTGCAATCCTTGAAGAAAACCTGAAATATATAAAAAGGCGCAAAGACAAGTATAAAAATAGCCCTGGATCCCACCACTCGGCACAAACACTTATTTTTGCAGCTCTCTTTTATCAAACTTTTTTTATATTCCAGAATCAGAAAGTTTCTTTCTCTCCAGTGACTCTGAGAGAAGCACCGAGGTGACCTCTGGAAACATTGCCTTGCTTACATCCAGAGGTATGAAGACACTTTCTTTCTCTTTCTTTTCCTCATTTCTTAGGTTGAGGAGAGTAAAATGCTATTGAATGAGATAACTGAAGATGAATTTTGGGTCCTGTGTGCCATGAACCCTATCTAGGACAAATTGGACCACATTTGTGGTTCATTCATTCTTGTGGCTTTGAGAGAGAAAGAGGGGTGGGGAGAGAGACTGACCTTGATTTGTTTAAGCAACTCCTCATGGTAGCACATTTCTGGAATATTTGCCTTTCCATTCCAGGTGAGGCAGTGCTTAGCCGTCTCATCCTAATTCCCAGTACAATGATCTTTGTTGACTTCCTTGAGGGACGTCCTCACTTGATCATTGGCTTTCTGTAGTAGAGAGAGAAATTCATTCATGTGATCTTTCATCAATCAAGAGTTCTTTAGGTATTTAATAGGGGTCCAAGGGCAGAGAATACCCTAAAATAAGGCATGATTTACATCCATGGGGGTTGCTAGAGAGAAGTGCCCAGGCTGGGCTCTCTGTTTTATTCCTTTTTGCCAGGGGTTTCTGGCCTCGGCTGATTTCCCAGGTGAGTTGGAGAGTTGAATAACTTCATGGATATAATGGCCTTAGGTGAGTGCCTGGCATGTTAGTAAGTGCTCAAATGGCAAATTTTACTTAATGGGGCTTATAGTCAAGTAGAAGAAAACAGATATCTATGGGGTAAATAAATGAATCTGTTCTTGTGTTAGTACAATATAGGGAGGCAGTATGGCACAGGGTGTGTGCTCTGGTGTTACACTGCCTGGGTACAAGACCCACTTCTTAACTGTTGTATGACTCTGGGAAAGTTATTTAACCTCTTTGGGTCTTGGCTTCCTCATTGATAAAATGGGAATAATAATAACACCTATCCTGTGTCTCTTTCTGAAGATTAAATGAGAGGATACTTGTAGATCACTTAGAACAGCATGAACTGAATGCTCTGTAAACATTAGCTCTTCTTCTTCTTCTTTTATTATTATTTTTTATTAAAAAAAGATATTTTTTTAACGTTTATTTATTTTTGACAGAGAGAGAGAGAGACAGAGCATGAGTGGTGGAGGGGCAGAGAGAGAGGGAGACACAGAATCTGAAGCAGGCTCCAAGCGCTGAGCTGTCAGATGCTCAACCAACTGAGCCACCCAGGCGCCCCATTCTACTTTTATTTTTTTTATGACAGAAGTTAGTTTAGGGGACAGTGGGGCACCAAAAATAAAAAAGACAAGTTTTTACCTAAGTTTGTTTTCTCTTTTCCTTTGTTTTTGTTTTGTTTTGTTTTTGTTTTGTTTTGTTTTGTTTTTTTCAGAATCTGAAGGTTGGGGTCTCCAGTCAACGTCCCAGACATCAATGTGGGAAATGAATGAGTCAGTGACTTTTCCTCAGCCAAGAGGTAAGGGGCTGTGCTCGTGAGGGTGATTTTGTCTTTGACCGTGGGAACAATCTGTCATCTGCCATCTGCCTGTTTGTCTTGGGATTTGGCTATTTTGGTTCCACTGTGGTCACATCCTACATCTTCCCACAAGCTGGGAAAGTGAAACCAGCTAATAGCAGCCATGTTTGCTTCTTCCCTCTTCTGCCTCTTTTCTGAAACCCCTGTGTTGGGATTCCCCTTCTTCCTTAGTTGTTTCTGTCTTGAAGCTAGAATTGCCAGAAAATCATCCATTCATTTAAAAAAAATTAGTAATTTATTGTAAATTACACAAATGTTACACTAATGTATTTTTGTTAGGGATACATAAAAAGTAGGAAAAAAATCTCTTTGACTCCCTGTCTTTAATCCCAGCCCTTCCTGTGATATAATCACTGCTATTAAAGAGGACCATTCCCAGATCTTTTTCTATTTGCTTATGTGTGTGTATAGAAATATGCAGTTTTGTTCTGTTGTGTGAATTTAAAAAAAAATTCTATTATACTGTATGTAGCCTTCTGTATTTTGTTTATTTACATAACATTATATACTGGACTACTTTCCTTTCCAGTCCATGTAGATATATATCATTATGTTAAATTGCTGTATAGAATTTTATACTGTGGATACTTATAATATCCAATGCCCACGAAGGGACATTGAGGTGTTCTAATATTTCATTACCATAAGTAGTTTGCAGGGGCATCCTTGTATGTGAGAGCCTCCTTAAGTGTCTATGTCTAAGGGTCTAGGGTGGTGATTAAGAAGGAGAAATCCTAGGCTGAAAGAAATGTACACTTTAAATTTACTAACCATTACAAAATTGTCTTCTGGAAAGGCTTTACCAATTTATTTTCCCACCCACAGTGTCTGCTTTCCTACATCTCCCCTATACTTGATATGACCATTTATTTAATTTTTTTTCAATCTCCTGAGAAGAAAATTCTGTCCCATTTTTTTGTTGTTCATTTTTTGTTGTCTCATTTTTTGTTGATTAACAAGGCGTTTGAGTGTCTTTCCATATGTTTATTAGCCAAACAATGGTCCTGTAACTCTGTGAAGGAGGCAGTGTAACATCACTCACAAAGGCTCAGCAGATAGAATTGGAGAGGATGGGCAAGAGTAAGTGGAAAGAGGATACATTTTGAAGGAAGACTATAAATCAAGGTGAAATGCAAGGGTGATCTAATGTTGAAAAGTTTTGGCTTTTTTTTTTTTTTTTTTTTTTTTTTTTTTTTTTTTGGCGCTACCTCATTCAGCGGGAAGACGGGAAATTTGGACTAGTTGTTGTTAACTTAGGTGAAGCTAGATGCCAAAGATCCAAACCTTCTTTGTCTGTGGCGTGGGGTAAAAGCGGGGGCTGTTTCCTGGCAGAAGAGAAGGTAGAAATGAGAAAAATGATGGAGAGTGGGCAAGGAGTTCTCAAAATGTTATCATTCATTCCATTTAAATCTCAGGCTATTTTACATTCAACTGCAAGGAAACAAGAGGTCATCTTGATGTTTCACCCTCTTCTGTAATATCCCAGATAATTGTTATTTTACTCCTCCTTGATAAATCCTGGAGGAGAGAGAATGCTTGCAGCAACATCTAGAGGCTGCATTGCTGAGAAGGAGCTTGCTGTAAGAAGGTCTATCTCTGTTTAACCTTTACTCATTATGGAAGAAACCAGGACTTATTGAACGCATATTATATGTGGTGCAGTGCAAAGCTGTTCTCATGGGCCACTTCATTCAATTCCTTTTTAGCAGATGCTCATACCCCTATTTTGTGCAACTTTTCCAAGGCCACACTGCTCTCAGGTTCCTGATGCAGGAAGTCTAGCTCTGAGTCCAAGCTCTTAGATATTATTTTATTTTGTCTTGCCTTCCTGTTTGAAATAAATGGTGGTGTTCTTTCCGTTTACTGTCCTCTCATCCCACTGGTTGTAATGAAACATTTGTAACAATAATTGCACTTTCTATTGCCGAAGACTTAATTATGTGTTAGGTGCTGTACTAAGTGTATTTAATGTGTATTTTCTTATTTAAATCTCATAGTGACCTTCTGATCAGGTACAGATATTATACCTATTTTAGAGATAAAGAAATGGAGGGTCAGAGAGTTTATTAGAGTAGCTGACATCTACTGAAGTCTCTCTTTGTTTCAATACTGCTCACGTTAAGCTCATTATTTCATCTGGCTTCTCACAAAATCCTATGAGATAGATACCATTATCACCTCCATTTTAGAGTTCATGAAGGTTATATAACTTATCTGGTAAATGATGACACGGGTTTAAGCCGTGTCTGTTCAACTCTGCTGCCATTCTGACATCATACTGTGCTGCTTCTCCCCACCCCTCACTCCCCAGTCTGCAGCCATTTACAGAATAAGTCAGGATAAGTGCTACTTCTTCATTCACTTGAAAGTGCTTTCAACTCCTTTCAGAGAGCTCACGTGACTCTGTGGGGTTTCTTTCCCTGGCCAAATATCCCTGATTCCTTCCTCATTTCTTCATGTAATTTTGGATGGCAAACCTTCCGTGGATGAGAGCTGGTTTCAATTCTTCAAGAAGATCTGGTCAAAATTATTATTCCCTAAAGTCAGCATTACCCAGAGTGATAGTTCTTCGCCCCCACTCCATGGCTCCCTAGAATGGAGTTCAGAGACGTGGAGTGACTTACCCAAGATCATAGAGCTGGGCAGAGGGAGAGCTGGGACTCACACCAGGCCTCGGAGATTTAAAATTTTAAATGTCTGTGGTCTCCTGGGTGGAGTTGTCTGTGGACGGGCTGGGGGTGGTATGAACCCCCTGAAATTACATATATAATTATGTGTGCATATGTGCACATACATTTTTCTGAGGGAAAAGTCTAGGACATATCTTTAGATTCTCCAAGAATTCTGCAAAGCTCCAAGTGGTTTGGAACCATCATTCAAACACAAACAAACAAACAACAATAAACACTTGCATAGGTTTCTCCCCTCCCCCCACCCCGGAGCTAAAGAGTCTGTTTGAAGAATGCAAACTCTGACCCCTCCAGGTACCTAGGAACTCAAAGCATTCCATCCAGCCTGAGGGTTCATTTCATTTCTTGCGTGGCAGCAGGAATTTGTGAAATGGTTCCAATTTGTTCCCTCAAGACAAATTTGTTCCCTCTCTCAAATTTGTTCCAATTTGTTCCCTCTACTGGGGAGGGACACTGAAGTCATAATCTGATGGCCTGGGATTAAGTCTGCCATTGATTATGCCTTCCGTTCTTTTACTGCCTCAGTAACATCTCAGATCCTTTCTTTCTAGTCTTTTATCCTCACAGCCTCCAGGGTAGCTCTGGGTGGGGGTTGAAAAAGCTCACTGGGGAGTCTGAAGGCTCAGGCTTATATCCCAGCTCTGCCATTTTTGTGTTTCTGTTTTCTTTTAGATCCTCAGGTGAGTTATTTGTTCTGTTCTTCTCTAAATCTCAGTTTCCCCAAAACGTACAGTGATGATGATATTAGTACTTATTTCATAGGACTGTTAAGTGAGGAAATGCATAAGAAAAATACCTGGTACCTAATTACTGGCTAGTAAACGATAGTCCTTATGCCCTATCCCCATTTCCTTTCTTCTTCACACATCTATTATTCCTACTCACACACCTGCATTTTTAGGTCTCTCTGGCAGGGTAACAAGAGGCCACTTTCACCAGCTCCCAACTGACTTGCTGTTCCTTATAAGCACACAGACACTTTTGGTTTCATGATTTTTTAAAATCTGTTAATTGCACCAGGGAAACAGCCAATGAGTGACAAAATTACAAACCTGGGAAAGTTACAAGAGCTTTTAAAATCTCACGGTAGTAATTCTCTACTTGTTACTGGAGTAAATCTGAGATTCTGAAAGCTCTTCACCGACTCCCTTTTAGATGACTCTACAGAATTCTTAATCATTGGTTTTATTCCTGCTTATGGACACATTTCATCTCCTGCTGCCTCTGAATTGTTTTGTCCTTCTCATACTGCTCAGTCTGTAGAGGCTCCACTCTACAATGTAGGCGTGGAATTCAAGTCATCCCTGAAAAAGAGCTGTGGTTGAGTGTGCCAAGCAAGAACTTCCAGATTCATGTTATTCATTTCATAGGACAACTCCAAGTAGGTTATCTCCTGCTTCAGTGCTCCCTCTACTTTTAAGGCATTTGCTGTAGACATCATGTGAAAAGGCCTACCTAGGGTGGCAAATCCTTGCTTCCACTCTAAGGCTGCCTAGAAATGGAGCTCAGAGATGTGAAGTGACTTGCCCGAGATCGCACAGCTAGACAGAGAGAGATCTGAGACTCACACCCAGGTTTCAGGGGGTTTAAACTTGTGTTCATTAACTCCCAGGGAGGAGTATTGTCTATGGAAATCTGGGAAACTGAGAAGATTAGAAACTGGGGCCCAGAAAATGGGAGGGAATGCTTTTAGAAACAGCTGCTCTATTACCGTGTCTTTCTGTTTGACAAAGTCATCCAAAGCTTCATGGTCCAGAGCAAGCTGGCCTTTCCAAGGAGCCAAAGGATTCTCAGAGGACAAAGTGGTTGGAGATGAGACTTTTCTCTTTATCTCGGAATTTGTTTTGGGTACTTGGAAATAGGTAATATGATTTTTTGGTAAAGGCGTTTCAAATCCGTCATTACTTAAACATGGCTTATTGAATTAATTTTCTATACATGGCATGGGAATAAATAAGTCATGACATCTGTCCTAAAAGGGGTCACTCTTTAGTAAGGTAGACAGGCTATGTATAGCAAACAATCATCCAGTGGGTTTAGTTTTGGGATAGAAGTATGGAAAGTTTTCCTGGGGGCCCAAAGAAGGGAAAGATGGATTCTATCCTGGAAAGGATGGCCAGCATAATTTAACTTAATAATCTTTGAATTGGTTCTTCAAGGATGAGAACATTTCATTGTGCAGGGAAGGGTGAACAGGCAGGAAGAAGAGCATGAACAAAAAGAAGGGAACTTGATAAGAGTATGAAATCT